TATATTTTGTGCCGTTTTTTATCTAAATATTTATTTTAAAAGATATTTTCTGCTTCTCTCTCTCTCTCTCTCTCTCTCTCNTACATGTTTGTTAAGACCATTCATAAGACGGGAGAGAGAAAGAGCCTTAACCATAATGAACAGCACATCCACACCACTCACACCATACTGTGTGCGATAGTATGTGATAGTGATGCTGTTTCGGCTGATGGTCTTTAGTGCCGACCCCTCTCGCCATATATAATATATCTATCATTAGTTGTGACCATTATTTCGAGTCTTATTTTTGTTTTCATATAAATAAAACTATTTTTTTAACGCAAACCTAAGAGTGTATCCAATAAATCGTTGACAACAATGAAATTCAATGAGATTTTTACGACTATTTACTCAATGCCCACAAGATATTAGGGGGTTTTGTGTACAAACAATATTTTTACTTCACTTTTTATGAAGTGTTTACTCTTGATATACATAAATGTGAAGATCTTTTTTTTTCTTGAGTTGACTTTTAGTTTGTTTGGTCCCGAATAACAAGCGGCTGAACCCATGCCGCGGGGTCTCGGGTTTGTGCCTAAATTATAGCGTACATACAGTACAGGCACTCACAAACACACACCGGTAGGACACCCGGGGGTTTGGTATTTGACAGACTAATAGACATATCAAATCACACCCCCTATAACTTCATGAGAGAGCCAAGATTAAAAAGCCCATTCCCGGAGAGAGAGAGAGAGAGAGAGAGAGAGAGAGAGAGAGAGAGAATGTAAATTGAATGTTTGTGTCAAATATATTTTTAAACATATCAATTGGAAAATGCTTTTTCATTAAACAAACGCTGATTTGTATGCAAACAACAGATAACTAATTGTCTCAACAACTGAGTTGATTAACTCATTAACATAGTTGTTGAGAAGGAGAGAGATGTGTGCCTGTATTGTGGGGTACAGATAGGCGAATGAGAGAGACCACAATTGCAATTTTTTGAATCTCTCTCTCTCTCTCTCTCTCTCTCTCTCATGGCTTTTGTTTATTGTGAGGTATTTCCGAGCAGTTTATTGTGGAGAAGGCTTGACATCCCTGACCACACGCGTCGGTCCACAGACCCCTCTTTCTCTCTCTTCCCTCCCAAATATCTCTCAACAGTTTATTAAGAAAAATATTTAGTTTTTTCCGGAGAGAGAGAGAGAGAGATTCATATTTCATACGATCGCATGTTTTATGTGCTTTTAAAATAAAAACTAATATTATATGATTATTATTATTGCCTTTTTTGCTGTTAGTTATCATATGAATAGAAAAATACTTGTTTTTTAGGCATAAAAAGTGCATTGAAATGAAAGCGATAACCTATTTCTCGATCACTTTCAAAGTATTTCAAAAGTTTTGTAAACTTTTTCATTTCAATCATTTCTTACGCTGTGTTTTGTATACAAAATACTATACAATACTATACTTGAATGCAAACCACTTGAAAAACTTTTATTCCCATTATATTACAGTATATTATAGTGTAGTAAAAATACACCATTCCCTCCATCTTAGGAACACGACTGGATCCGAGCGAAACGTATTCATAGAATACATTCATTTGCAAAATTGAATGCTGTGTTTAAGAAACTTTAATTCTTATAAAGTTTTATAAACTATGAATAAAAGGTTTATTTATAAAACACAATTAATTAATTAATTAACATTTCATTATCGCATTAATTTATTATTATAACTTAAATTTATAAATTAAATTGTAATTTTGTTATAACGTTATAACGAAAATATCAAAACATTACGACAATATTTAAAATAGAAAAGTTCTTATCAAACATTGTAATGAAATTCTAGTATTTAAATGTGAGATAAAAGACCAAAATCTAATATTCACTGTAACCGACTTTGTTCTTGATAGAATATTAGCATTATTCATATTGTAAATTAAAATTTAAAAACTTTTTATCATTCAACCAGGTAAAAAAGTGTTTACACAGAAAATAGTGAAAATACTTTTAACTCAATAATTCGTGTCAATCATTGGTGAGATTGGAATTTATTGCAACAAAAATGCACTATCCATAAAATCGAGGTAATCCATGTATGTAACATACAATACCTGTGTAACCATAGCAACCCGTGTTGGAGCGCACGCGCGGTTCGGACGCATACCTGTTGTATTGGGGCATAGATTATACACTGGAGTCTCTCTCCACTGGTATTGTGAATACCCTTTACGGTAGAAGTCATACAACATATTCTTACTATACGTTCAGTTCAGTGCTTATTGTGTATGTGTTTTGATAGACTGGTTGGCTCTATAGACTTATAGTGGTTGCCCACGAAAAAAGTACAGTGTGTTCTACACACACACAGTATGCACAGTACAACAATTGGTGATGATGATTACGAATACGACCATGTTCGTTCGTGTCCAGCGGCCAATCCACGGCCTCGTTTCGGTCGCACTTGGAGTGGCCCGAGTCTGATGCTGTGTCCCGATGTGTCGCACACGTCATCCATGTCTTCATTGGTGTAAAACAGTGGTCAATCCCAAGACATAAGTGTGTGGTGTTGTGTATATATATAATGTACCTCAACTGTACGTGTATCATACTGTATATAGCGATCATCGTGCTTTTGCTCGTCACCCAACACCAGTACTCTCTGGCCGCCGAACCCCAGCCCTGGCCAGTGGTCGGCGGTGTTGTCGATGGCGGCGGCGGTAGTAGTGGTGGTGACGGCGGCGGCGGTGGGGGTAGTGCTAAGCGGGACCACAAACGGCCCAAACGTAACGCATATAACAAACAGTTCCTAAAGGAGTTGGAGTCGCGGCTGTTGTCGGCGTTGGGCCTGAGGTCGCGGCCGAAGCCCACGTCGGGCGCAATGTTTGACAAACTGGTGCCACAGTATGTGTGGGAACTGTACGAACAGAGGCAACAGGAGAGACACCAACTGACCGGTGATGACTATAACTATGACAATAACGCTGTCGATGATGACGGCGACCACCATAACGACCATAACCACAACCATCGCAATCATCACTCCTCACACCCATCATCGCAGCCATCATCGCAGCCATCGTCCCATCGGCCGCAACAGCAGCGACGGCACAGCAGCAGCGGATCCGGTGCTCAACACCAGGCAAACCACTGGCAGCGAAGCCATTATAATAAAAGATTTAGTTTAAGTGGTTTCGCAAATACTATTATAACTCATAAACAGCATTATGAAGGTATGCGCTCAACACTCACACACACTCGCATACACACACATTCACTCACACACTCTCCCCTCATATACTTACCTGTCCTAAGAAGTTAACTATTTTCACAAACACTAACCATAACATACATCCAGTCTCTCTCTCTCTCTCTCTCTCTCTCTCTCGACAAAATCTAATACAATTTCTATAGCATATTATTGATCAAACCAACTAATCTACTATGTATTCAACCATTAGATCATGGCAATTTTCATTTATTTAATCCACAGAAATAAACTAAAATTTATAATAAATAATATGATTTAATATAAGTTAAATAAACAATTATATTATTTAAAATTATGTAATCATCATTAAGTATACAACGTATGGTCACCACAAACATGTTTATGTATTAATTCAGCAATATTAATTTTGTAAAATGTACAGTATAAGTTACAATGATATAAATATAATATAAAGCATCTTAGCTTAAAATGATTTTATGATTAAATTTAAAAAATACAATTAAAGTTGTTTAAACTTCAATTTTAAATAAATAAGTTTGTAATACGTTTTTATAATGTAAAATATAATTTATTAATGTGTTAAACCATGAGTCAATCATTGCAAAGCACACGATCAAAAATTACCCACGTATGAGTATACCATATATGGTAAATTAAATAAATATATAACCATTAAAAATAATAAACATTTAATTAAACGCCCCTGAATTATATGACTGCATTAAGGTAATAGTAACCATGATTATTTATATTAGTTGTTAATTAATAATGCATAACAGTAGTTGTGTGTAAAATATTAATTAGTAATTAAACGTGTATTTTTCAAACGACTCATATATTTTAACACTTATAATTGGTTTTTGTAGTTTAATATCTGAGTTCAACCCAAAACGCATTGTCACTCAATTTGATCCAAAAGTCTTATCCACACGAATAACAGCCGTCGGGACATCGGTTTGTCCGACAAGACATGAGTTGTGAGTTATGTCGGACAGGGAGTGAACTCATGGTTGACATCAACGCCCATCAGTTGTGGTGAAAGACATCGACAGCTAATCAGTTGTCAATTGCCTACAAAATGATTGTGTGTGTCATCACCGATGGAACCGCTGGAACTTCTGTAAGTAATCTAATGTTTTGTTTTATTTTATGATTACAATCTCAAGACTATTCACTTTGAAGTGAACTAAAGCCATGACTTTTGTCTTCGAGACCACGTGTTTAATGTTTGTTTTTGTGTTCAAAGGATCCGACGGTCAGAACCGCACAAAACACCGCCGAAAACATCATTGGATGTAAAGAATGGGCCGACAGTCGGACTCAACCGACCGGCCGTTGGCTTACCATCGGATCCGTCGCCAAACAATATACTGAACACTGGTTTCAGTCGACTTTCAAAAAAGCACTGAATTAATGAATGGATTAGTGGCCAACTGTTGGAAACACTCGTAGACGACTGGCCATCACGTGTTGTGGTTGATGCCGAGGAGGGGTTAGTTGACCTAACGTTTTAGTAGGCTAAAGACTCTTCACGTGATTGGCTGGGGGTATAGCGGGCGACAAGTTGTCGGTCCAATTCGAGTGGACGCGGGCCGCAGCCATACAACCGCCCGACCGGGTTCTTGTCACTGGGCCTCCCGCACGACAACCGGAACCGCTGTCACCCATATGTCTGCATCTCCCGGAAGGTCAGGTGTGATGGCGTGTGCGGTCACGACTAAGGGCTGCACTCTATTCAGATGACAACCAATTATGGATTGAGAAGTGAGTGAACAATGACTTTGTTTATGAGACCAAACATTAACTTTTGTGTGTTTTAAGGATCCGACGGTCAGAGCATTGGTATTAAATTTGATGACAGATTAGAGGCAAATATATTGGACACCGGTTTCAGCCAACTAACAAAATGCATTCAATTAATTGATTCATCACTCAATCTGTTGGCAACACTTGTAGACGACTGGCCATCACGTGTTGTGTGGTTGATGCCGAAGACGCTGGTTAGTAAGCTATAGACTCCGCACGTGATTGGCTGGAAGTTTGCGAGTGCGGCCATACAGTGGCCATCATTGGCCATAACATCGGCGGCAGTTATGTTTATCTGCGATGAGAGGGCTATTGAGATGACAGCCAATTATGGATTGAAAAGTGAGTGAACAATGACTTTGTTTTTAAGAGTATATTCAAATGTTTAACTTATTTGTGTTTAAAGGATCCGATGGTCAGAGCATTGTTTGGCTCAACCGATGCCAGAGAACAGTCGACGATAGCCCACAGATGACGACCAACAACCGGCCAAATGCTATACCGGTGGCCAACCCTTCTATGACCGATAATCATCACCACTTCCAGTGCCGACAACCAATTGGTGGACAACACTTGCGATGAGTATGTTTTGTGTTTTAAAACTTAAGCCATGTTTTTATTGTTTATATTTTTTCATAATATTTATCGATTCAGATAATCATCCGAACGGTGGACACAATGCGGGGACAGAAGACAAACATTTCTCAAGACAATTATTGATTGCTAGAAGTGAGTGAACCATCACTTTGTCTTTGAGACCAAACATTAACTTTTTGTGTGTTTAAAGGATCCGACGGTCAGAGCATTGGTATTAAATTTGATGACAGATTAGAGGCAAATATATTGGACACCGGTTTCAGTCGACTAACAAAAAGCATTCAATTAATTGATTCATCACTCAATCAATTGTTACTCGATATCTGCCACAGAAGACAAAGACATCTCAAGACATCTCTTCGTTGAGGTGAACACCACTGAAGAGTTACAAAAAAGTGGATGTATTGGATGTGATTCACGAACACAAGGATGAAGAGCAGCTCACTATATATTCCACACATCAAACAACTTATTATTTTATTGTTAAGCATATTATTTAATAATTTTATAGTAATTTTTGAATTTATTTTTGTATAATTTTTTGTATGATTTTTTGTTTAATTTTTTGTACAATTTTATGTATTGTTTTATGTGTTTATTATTTTGCTGTATTTGTTGTGAGTTTTGTCCCGTTTAGCGATCGTCTGTGTCTTCATTTAATCCATGGTTTGCCTTCTTATCCAACAATTGATTCAATCGTTTTCGTTGTATTCATCCATTGTTTGCATCACTTGTTGTGTAATTTGTGTCCATTTTATTTCATTATTCAACCAAATCTGGCATTTGATGATCTGTTCCACACGTGATGTCCATCTGATTCGTATACCTTGTCATGGATTTGATCCCACGGTTGACGTGTAATGTTTGAAAAGCCATTTGTTTACATCATGTGATCCGAGAAATCATTCATACGTTCATTGGTTTCCATCCATTGTTTGCATCACTTGTTGTTGTGTTTCATTTGATTTTTGTTTCATTTGTCGATCATTTGATGGACTCTTCGCTCGCGTGTGTATTGAGTGGTTGTCAGCTATTTAATGGGCCAATGGTTTTGGTCATCGGTTCCGCCGCCATAGGATCACCCGTACTGTCCAACGCCGATATCAGTAATGTGTGGTCACACGGACTGCAAGTCCTGTTGATCCGGTACTTGTGTTAAGCGCGCGCGGGTTAGGTATGTGTTCATTATTATACCGTACGATCGGTTGACTACACGGCCGACGCGTACTGTAAGGCCTGTAAGGTATGGTATGTACGGTATGGCCCCCGCAGTCCTATTCCCACACATCACTCGACCACACATACCGAAGACACCTCCGTCTATACACTAACGGGTCTCCAACTCGTGGGAAATGGTATGCATTTTAGTGTACACCTCTTGCCCGGCACCGGGAGGTAGTGTTTTGTATAGGAACTGGAGTTTCAGGAAATAGGGGGCCAATTTGCGCGATTAGTGCCACTCATTTTGCCCATTGATTTATGGGAATCGACCGCATTTTTGGCCACATGCTCCATGGTCAATTAAAACTGAGCTCTGCTCGGGTCGGCACCTTGATGTAAATTGGTTTTTAATCTGGTCTACATTAGCCCAGGTATGCGCTATCCCAGTGTCCACCTGGCCTTTAATGGTGGCCACTGTTTGTGTGTAGTTTACCGGTCAGACCGTCAGTCGGTCTTAATTTGGGTTCGGATGCAGTGTTAAAACCGTCGATTACTTTGCCTTTGAGTGTGTGTTTGGGTCGGTTTTGCCACAGCTGATTACCTGGCTAAATTATATGTGGCAAACATTTTTACAATTAAATAAGATTTAAATGGCCAGTATTTTAAGGCACAATTCCCATACTGATAAGTGTGTTGATGATAAAAATACATGTATATCGCGACATATATTGATTCTATGTTAAAATAATTTTTATATTGACAGTCAATGATGAGATAAAACACTGCAAATGTAAGAACAATTGTATTTAATTAAAGGACAGTTGTATTTAATGTAAGGACAGTTGTCCTTACATGCTATCATAAGGTAACTTTAATTCATTAATTTAATGCAATTTGGTTAAAATTATATAGTACTGGCTATTATTGTGATATAGTAAATATTTGTATCGTGTTGTTATAATATATGTAATTTTATGTAATTGTTTTAAATAAATGATTTTAATATAATTGTTCTAGAATAATATTTCATTTTAACCATATTAAATATATGTTTTTGCCCAATAATAATAATGTTATCACACGTTAGAGATATGGATTAAAATAACGGTTAAATGTTGAGTTAAGTACGGTTTGATAACAAAATCCTTAACCAACTTGGTAATGATTGACATTATCATGATTGATAAAACTTAACTATACCGATTTGCAAAAGCACTTAATGGTATAAATAGGGAGACAAATAAATGCAATAACCAAATCTGAAAAATATACATACAATAAAATAATTGGTTTAAATAATTGGTTATTTTTCCAAATGGGTAAGTTTAGAATAAAAATTACATACAATGTATAAATAAGCTAAAAATATACAATTTGTATTTAATTATAATATACTAACAAATTAAATAAAATTCCGCCTAGCTCACTGTCATCTAACCTACGCGTTATGCGCTGTACTAATGTTATCGGTGGGCGAGTCGTTGGCCCAATCATGTCCGGAGCCGAGCGCCATCGCACCATGCACATGTTTCCGGGAAGTTGTGCCACCCGTCGGGTTCAACGTCTATATATACTGCGAGGGCAGTGACCCATTGGACCTGAAAGCCATGTTTCACCGGCTAAGCCCCGGCACCGGTCGTGGTTACTATCGGTTCAGGTTAACCAATACGGCGATCAATGAATTGCCGGCCGATCTGTTTGGCACCACTAAGTTTCACGAGATTGAGATAATAGGCGCCCATAGCCTACAACGGGTTCACTCGCGGGCATTGGCCGGTCAGACACTGCAGAGGGTGTATATCAGCGGTACGCCTATCGCCGCCCCTGAAGGCGAGTATGATTTGTTCAAAGCCATGGCACCGGCAATCTCTGACCTGTACGAACTCACATTGGCCAACACCAGCCTAACCGCTATACCGGCCCGCGCTCTACACTCGGCCCCTAAGCTAACCAAAGTGACCATCATTAACAATAAGGCGCTGACTAGTTTGGGCGCCGGGGCGCTCAACCTGACCGGTCAGCTCCTGTCCGTAAACCTGCAAAATAATAGTATATCTAATGTGTCGGCCGATGCCATACGACTGGCGCCCACTTTTTTGGCTGAGCTCAACGTTAGCGGCAATCCGTTGTCTGTACGGCCGCTGAGCGGTCAGACATTTGCCGGCATTAGTAAAGACAGTGACGCCTCGCTGTACACCTATGGCGACGGCTTTCGGTACGTGAATCGCATGGTATTCGAGCCGTACCTGAGCTCCAGTACTAAACACCGGCTCTATTCGGACACCGACTGCGCCGACACTCGTAATGATTGGTTGCGCGAGAAATACGCCAAACAATGGTTTGATAGGAATTGTTAATTAAATGTATAATTAGTAAATTCATTCAACGATAATCATATTATTAGAATATACAGTAACGGACCATCTGGGTGAAGTACCATTTGTGTCAAGTGACCATTTGTGTGAACCAAAACCAAAATCCACACTCAATAGACATAACGTTAAAAAAGTATCAACTGTGTGAACTGATCAATTGTGTGAACCAAATGCTAAAACCCAATCACTTCACCCAAATGATCTTTTACTGTACTATAAATTGTAATAATTTACGTAAATTAAATTTATTTAGCATAATATGAATAATATTTTAAGTGCATTATGATATTTCACAGTTTAAAAATTAATTTAAAAAAAGTATCAATTGCTTTCCATAATCCAAAATTATGCATATTATATTAATTAATTAACTTGCAATTATAAATAAATGCAAAATTACAGCTTATATGACTTGTTTAAAATAGTTGTTTAGCTTGTGTTAAATTTATATTTGTAACATATTATAAATTACAAATAATTTTATATCCAAACATTTAACACATTAAATTATACTGAACTAACTAAATTGTAATTTTAAATACTACGAAGGAATGTTTATTTTGTAAACTGAAAGTTATTTATGTAATTTTATTTTTATAAATTAGTCAAATGTTGTGAAAATTGGTATAATATTTAAAAGTAATATTTGCAGAATTTAAATTTATTTATGAATTAATTTTAACAATAATTATTATATGATTCAATACTCATAGTTCTTAATGGGAAACAAATTTAGACAATTAAGATAAATACAACATTTGTTGTGTCCATCACAGATTATTAAACAAATCGTCAAATTTTATATGATATAAAATATATCTCATGATTATTTAAATATAAATTATTAAAACATCGAAATAATTAATATATAATTAGTGCCACAAAAACATATGAAGTGGAAAAATTCAAAAGTAGTCATAGGAAACAAATCGCCGCAATAGTAGCCGATTGTGGGTCCCATCGATAGCCTCTCTATGAATGCAAACACTTTCAACCGATCGCACAGTGAGAGCACTGGTTGTCGGCCACCAGTGGTGGACAGGTATGACATCAATAGGGGGTAAGATCTGTGAGCAGCCTTAGAAATCCATGTGCAAAAAATAAAATCCATGAAGGGTAAATTAAAGCATCCCACAACAACAGCACAGCTGATTAATCTGATAATTAATTCAGTGTATGGATTATGAATTATATAGATTCCGGTCAGAATACCAATTGTTCCCATAAAATATGTTACAAATATAATATATTTAAACGAATTGTTGAGACGTTTTGTCTGTAATTCCCAGTAATTGTGTTCAACGATAGCCGACATTAATAGCCGTTTGTTATCGTATTTCACACTCAATGCTATTCTATGGGATATTTCTAGGAATTTATATTTTAAATAGTACGCTGTTATAAACCACAGGGTAAATGTCACGCAACCAATGCTTGGAAAATAATAACAACAATATATGAGATGCATGTCGTGAACCATCATTAATATAAATCTAGTCACCGATGGATTGTCTGAATACACATTATATTGTATATAAATAATTGCGCTTGCGCACATAAAAGCCACCGCCGATGGCATGCATTTGTTTATGCAAAAATTTAACCAACGTACATATTTGGACAATAATCCAACACGGTAATTTTGTAATTTATATAAAAATGTCCCAAATTTTAAGCCCGCCATAAACTCTAATAAATAAAGTGAACGAGTTAGTTCTTTATACGTTATGCATGCGCTGGTACAAATTAATCCAATAGGTGCCATTATTCCCGTTATGTATAATAGCTTTTTAACCTTGACGTTTTTCAGGTCAAATAATAGATCTAGAACAAAAGTATTTTGAATAAACAGGCACAGCGCAAATCGAACCACAAATAGTAGCAAGATGATTTTATTCGCCAAAACGGCACTTAAACTACGAAATCTACTAACTTTTGATTGATTTATAGTTTGTGTTGCATTCGCGACCGAGATGTAGTGGTCAGTATTGTTGCTAACCATAAATAACGTGTTTATCATAACTTGTTCCAAGTTTCTGCATTCTATTTGGATGTCACTGTTTGCAGGTTCACCCCTTTGCGCCGCAATATTGCGCCAATTGTGCAATACGTATGTCATTATTAAATTTTTCGCTTCCATTACATACAGAATAATGTGATATATTTGTATAAAAAATTCTGTTCATTAAAGATATGTTTATAACATTTGTATACCAAGTAATATTTATAACTGAAATGCTCGAGTGTCTGATATTTGAATTTCAACATTATAAATGTCAGATATATTATCACAACAAATAATTGTTGTATAATTGTTTATATTCTTAAAATATCATTTTATCATCAATCATTATATTAAATATATTTTTCTTACGCAAATATTTAAATATAATATTATATCATTATTATATTATAGGCAACAATTATATTGATTTATTACTTTAAACATGCAATATACAGTGTGTCAATATTTTATAATTGTGATTGATATTAGCATATTTCCATGGTGATTTCTTTGTTCTCATTCATATTGGATATAATTTTAAAATATTTATAAATAAACACTCGCATAAGCACTCGGGTAAGCACTCGCGTAAGCACTTATATAATTATGTTTAGCCAGAATAATAAATAAAATTATTTTGCAATAAATTAATATACATTTAAATCTGCATTTGTTGTCATTTTAAACACAAATAATCTAAATATACATTAAATATTTTCATAATTAATAGTTTGCTAATTATGTTAATTTCATTTTCATTCTTTAATCAATAAAATTTTGGTTTAAAAATAATTAATTTAATCATAAATATCATGGGAAATAACCCACTTGTTTGGATACCACTTGGTATAAATGGGTTTGAAATTAAACACATCGGGCTGACCCGTATGGCGGTCATCAGCGCCGGCACCGCTAGTCGACCAGCGGAACGGCGGCTGTTGGCGATGTGTGGGCCCACTCACGGCCAACATCTCTAACCTCGCGGCCATATCCTTGTCGGTCAGTTTGGCGTCAATAGCGCCGGCAATATTGCGACTAAAAATATATGGGTAGTGTCCAGTGGGCGAGTTTAAATCGTGCCTGGCAGCTATAGCAAGCTGACCAGCGTACCCAGGTTGACACTCTTGGTGGTATTGGTGACATTGCGATAACGGGTCATGCTGAAAGTCGTTGGAGCGCATCAGCGAATACAGCGTGCTCAAATCGGTGACTGTATTTTGATCTCGGTAAAATATGCGCGCCCGTGCTGTCTCGTTGTAGCTAAAAAACGTACCCCATTGTTGAACGAGCCCACCGGTGTCGCTCATGTTGTATATATTTTGAAAATAGGGAACATTATACGAACCCCAATACGTGGTATCGCGGAGCACTTTGGTCATATCAGCCGCGGTTATAGTGCCAGGCATTTGTTCGCACACCCAGAGTAAATTATCTGGGAGTGAATGTACTGGCGTGCCCTTGGTGAATAGTTTGTAATCGACAATCATAAACTGATTATTATAGGTCCCGCTATTATAGCGACCAAATATGTCTGTCCACTGGCGGCCTCCAGTGGCCAACCGATTGGCCGCTACATTGCGAACAAACTCTAACACGACTTGATTTGGCCGTACGCTTGCGTACAGGGATTTGTTGTAATTATTATTAGTCGTCTCCTGGACTACGAGTCCTGAGGACAGGACGTAGTAGTCGTCGCCCGAGAAAATAGACCCCGGATAGGAGGACATGGATACTGAATGACCCGGTATTAAAACACCTGTGGCTAGACTTTTGAACGCAAAGCTATATTGTTTGTGCACCCGAAGCATTGTGTTATATTTGAACCACGTGTTGTGTGTCACGTATAGATCGCTGCCATCGGGCAACACTTTGACCATGGCCGAACAATGGTCTTGGTACTCGATCGTGGTTGAGTTTGGTGTGAGTATTGCCTCGAGCTCATGGCCTTCAGACATCATGTTCAACCACCAGACTTCGCTTATTACATCCATTTCCACTGTGTGTTCGGTAACGTTATTATCCGCTTTCCAGTCCGCATACCCGGCCTCTAAGCCCCGCATCTGGTCGTATACGAGCCCTAATTGGTGCCAATAGTCGTCGTTTGCGTGACTTTTAATCATAGTATCGATGAAAGCGGTGTTCGTCTTATGAAAATGCTTTAACGCATCGCAAAACTCTTTACGTTTAGCGCAATACCCATCGATTGTGTTGAGATAATACATATGAATGAGTCCACCCGTTATGTAGCCCTCGAGTACGCCTGCCATATATGCCTAGGGTGACTAACTTCCATTTTGGTAAAAGAGGACATAACAAAGAGTTTTAGAGGACAATAGGGAAAACATACACTAAAAATTATGACAAATAGAGGACACAAGTTTTAACGTTGGTTTTCA